CAAAAGTGAGCATCCTTGTCTGTTCCTGTTCTTAAGGGAAATGTTTTTAATTTCTGCCCATTGAGTATGATGTTGGCTGTAGGTCTTTCACATATGGCCTTTATTATGTCGAGATATGATCCCTCTGTTCCGACATTGCTGAGCATTTTTATCAGAAATGGATGCTGGATTTTGTCAAATGCTTTTTCAGCATCTATTGATATGATCATGTGGTTTTTATTCTTCATTTTATTTATGTGGTGTATCACATTTATTGATTTGCGAATATTGTACCAGCCTTGCATCACTCGGATGAATCCCATTTGGTCATAGTGAATAATTTTTTTGATGTATTGCTGGATCCGATATGCTAGTATTTTGTTCAGGATTTTGGCATCTATGTTCATCAGGGATTTTGGCCTGTAGTTTTCCTTCTTTGTAGTGTCTTTTTCATATTTTGGAATTAGAATTATGCTGGCCTCATAAAACGAGTTTGGAAGTCTTCCTTCTTTTTGAATTTTTTGAAATAGTTTGAGGAGAATGGGTGTTAGTTCTTTTTTGAATGTTCGGTAAAACTCCCCCGTGAAGCCATCTGGGCCTGGGGTTTTGTTTGCTGGGAGAGTCTTGATTACCTCTTCAATTTCCTTAGTTGTTATTGGTCTGTTCAAGTTTTCTATCTCTTCCGGGTCCAGTTTTGGGAGACTGTGTGTTTCTAGAATTTTGTCCATTTCACTTAGATAGTCAAATTTGTTGCCATATGATTGTTCATAATAGCTGTTAACGATCTTTTGTATTTCTGTGGTGTTGGTTGTTACCTCTCCTCTTTCATTTCTGATTTTGTGCATTTGGGTTCTCTCTCTTTGTTTCTTGGTGAGTCTAGCTAAGGGTCCATCAATCTTGTTTATCTTTTCCAAAAACCAGCTCTTTGTTTCATTGATCCTTTGAATTATTTTTTGGTCTCTATGTCATTTATTTCTGCTCTGATCTTTACTATTTCCTTCCTTCTACTTACTCTGGGGTTTTCTTTTTGTTTGCTTTCTAGTTCTTTAAGTTGTGAGGTTAGACAGTCAATTAGAAATTTTTCTTGTTTCTTGAGGTAGGCCTGTAGTGCTATGAACTTCCCTCTCAGAACTGCTTTCGCTGCATCCCATAGATTTTGTGTTGTTGTGTGTTCATTTTCATTGGTTTCCAGGAAGTTTTTAATTTCTTCCTTGATCTCCTCGGTAACCAATTCATTGTTTAATAACATGCTATTTAGCCTCCATGAGTTCAAATGTCTTTGCATGTTTTTGTTGCAATTGATTTCTAGTTTTATGCCATTGTGATCTGAGAAGAAGCTTGATATGATTTCAATCTCCTTGAACGTGTAGAGATTTAGTTTGTGTCCTATCATGTGGTCTATCTTTGAGAATGTCCCAGGTGCACTTGAGAAGAATGTAAATTCTGTAGTTTTGGGGTGTAATTCTCTGTAGATATCTATTAATTTCATTTGGTCTAGTGCTTCATTGAGACTCTGTGTTTCCTTGCTAATTTTTTTGTCTAGAGGATCTATCCAGTAGTGTCAACGGTGTGTTGAAGTCCCCTGCTATGATTGTATTGCTGTTGATTTCTTCTTTGAAGTCCTCCAGAAGATTTTTAATATATTTTGGTGCTCTTATATTGGGTGCATATATGTTTATCAAGGTTATGTCTTCCTGTTGGATAGATCCTGTCAATATTATGTAGTGGTCTTCTCTGTCTCTAGTTATTGAAATTTTGAAATCTATTATATCAGGTACGAGTATTGCTACCCCAGCTTTTTGTTGCTTCCATTTGCTTGGAAAATTTTTTGCCATCCCTTCACTTTCAACCTATGTGAGTCTTTTGTTGTGAGGTGGGTCTTTTGTAAACAACATATAGATGAGTCATGCTTTCTTATCCAATCAACTACACTGTGTCTTTTTATAGGAGCATTCAGTCCATTTACATTTAAGGTGATTATTGGTATGTACTTATTTATTGCCATTTTTGTTTAGTTTGGTTATATTTTTCTTCCTATTTCTACTACTAATTACAGCAGTCCTTTTAACATTTCTTGTAGTGCTGGTTTGGTGCTAATGTATTCCCTAGCCTTTTTTTTTTTTTTTTTTTTTTTTTTGTCTGGGAAGTTCTTTATTTCACATTTTACTTTGAATGATAGCCTTCCTGGGTAGAGTAGTCTTGGATTCAGATCTTTGTTTTTCATGAACTTGATTACTTCATGCCATTCCCTTCTGGCCTGTAGTGTTTCTTGTGAGAAGTCAGCTGAGAGCCTTAAGAGGTTCCCTTTGTAGGTAACCTGTTGCTTACCCCTTGCTGTTTTTAGGATTCTCTCTTTGTCTTTAATTTTTGGCATTTTAATGACTATGTGTCTTGGTGTGGGCCTGTTTGGGTTCTTCTTACTTGAGGCTCTCTGTGCTTCTTGAACTTGAATGCCTTCTTCCTTCACCAAATTAGGGAAGTTTTCTCTCACTATTTCTTTGAATATATTCTCTAACCCTTGCTCATTTTCTTCTTCTTCGGGGACTCCTATGATGCGAATATTATTATGTTTCCAGTTGCCCACAGTTCTCTTAAGCTGTCTTCCTGTTTTTTAATCGTTTTTTCCTTTTGGTTTTCTAATTGGTTGATTTTTTCTACCCTGTCTTCTAATTCGCTGATCCAGTCCTCAGCTTCCTCTACTCTGCTCTTTAGACCTTCCAATGTGTTCTTTATTTCTGTTATGTCACTCTTGATCTCTTCTTGGTGGTTTTTAATTTCCAGTTGGTTTATTTTCAGCATCTCTATGTCCTTACTCATGCTGTTGAGCTTCCTTAAGATCATGGCTCTGAATTCTAGCTCTGTTAACTTGCCTAACTGCTCCACATTGATATCATGTTCAGTGGAGGTCTCTTGTTCTTTCATTTGGCTTTTGTTTCTGTGTTTCACCATTTTGGCTATCACAGTGGGCTTTGGAGGCTGTCAAGTTTTCCCTGTGGGTATTGGTGTTTTGCTGTTTGTGGCTCCCTCTCCTGGGTTTAGATGAGCAAGGGAGGACCCACGTTAAACACCACTGTCAAGTCTTACTTTCCTGGTTAGAGTTGCTAGCCCAGGAGTGGTACTGTTATCCTCTAGCCTTTTACCTGGAGGCTAGCAGTTGAGGTTACTTGAAGAGTTTTGGGTTGTTAGTTGATTGAAAAACTCCCTCAGGTGCTCAGTGTAAGGGGCTTTCCCGAGGGTTGGGCAGATGCTGGTTGTTAGTAAGCCTCAATTAGCATTCCAATGGCCCACAGGGTGGGGTTGAATCTCTGAGGGAGGGGCTGTTGCCTCTCCCCTGAGCCCTGGGAAGGAGCAATATGGCCACTGTCCTGCGTGGCTGCAACTCAGCAAGAGCTTGGAGCGCCCTCCAAATCCCAAGCGTCCCCACACAGTTCCAGTCCAGTCTGCCCTTCCTCTGCCAGAGCTCAAGGTGAGTGGTTGTGGCTATTTTAGCCTCTGTCCCGGCTCTGCACTGTGGAGCTGCATGGGTCTTTAACCTGAGGGCGCTGCTCACAGCTAAGGCAGCTGCGAGCTGCCAACTGTGGGCTCCCAGCCTCCGTCTAGCGCCTTCGGAATCCTACCAGGATCGAGTCAGTGTCCCTGGTTCTATGGTCCTCGAAAGCTGCTTTTTCCCATCGATTTGTCTGTGTTTTAGTTGTAATTCCAGTTTGGTCCTGGGAGACAGTCTGTGTAGCTTCCATTCACTCCACTGCCATTTTGGAATCTCTGTCTCCAGTGTATTCTTTATTTCAAATATTGCATTCTTAATATCTGACTGGCCCTTTTCATGCTGATAAACATCCTTATAATCATTACTTTGAACTCTATATCTGATAATTGCTTGTTTCCATTTCATTTTGCTCTTTTAAAAAATTCTGTTGTTTTCATTTGGGTCCTGTTTCTTTGTCTGCCCATTTTTGGTTGCCTCTTTATGTTTGTATCTGTGTATTAGGTAGATCTGCTATGACTCCCAGATTTGGTAGGGTGGCCTTATGTAGTAGGTGTCCTGTGGTACCCAGTGGCACAGTCTCCCTGATCACCTGAGCTATGTTCTCTAGTAAAGTCCTTTGTGTAGATTACATGAGCCCTCCTGTTGTGATTGAGTCTTGATTGCTATTAGCCCATTTGTGCATCAGATTGACCCTCAGGCTGGCTGTTAGGCTCAATTGCCAACACAATGTGCGAACTGCTGTGCAGGTGCTGATAACACAAAGTGAAATTCACCTCAGCAGGGTATGTTGCCTGCCAAGATCTCCCTTTGGATGTGTTGCTTTGTGAAGCTTATTTCATTCTGCTCTGTTGTTGTCTGAAGCTAGCCCTTGGGTGTATTGGTTCTGGGCCTCTTTGGAGGGACTCTGGTGTACGCCTATATGTCAGACACTGCCTGTGACTGGCCCTGGGCAACTGTTTGGAGCTATCAGTGATGCACAGAGCTATTTGGCTCCCTCTGTTGGACCTAACTACATGTGGAAAGGACAAAGCTGAGCAACAACATTGGGTTTTACCAACACTGGGTCCAGGGGCAGGTCAGCAAAAGCCTCAAAGCACCCAGAGAGATCCACCTCTGCCTGCAGGATGCCTGTCAGACTTAGTCACTAAAAGAGCCTCCAACTGTATGCCTCAACAGGTGTAAGCTCCACAGTGTGGGAAGTGAAGATTTCCACCAGTTGAGGCTATTGCTTCCCCTCAGGCTGATCCCACATGGATAGGAGTGCTCTGCCCAAGAAAGATGGTTTCTCCAGTATGGGGCATTGACCCAGTACAAGGATCCTGGCAGCTGACCCTTCAGCTCTCTCCCTAGAGCAACTAACCCCAGACTCTCCTCATATGCTCTAGTCCACTTGCCCTCCATCTGCCAGAGCCCAGGGTGAGCGGCTATGAACAAAGTTTTGTGTGTTGGCCCTTTAAGAGGATGACTGTGTCTCTAGCCATCTCTCCCTGGCAGACAGAAACCCCACTGCTTTTCACAACCAGATGTTGTGTGGGTGCCTTTCCTGATTCTGGTGCTCTAGGGTATGGAGCCAAGCTTGGAATTCAGACCCCACACTTCTCAGGGGCAACCCTCCAGGACTTCAGCTGCCACTCATGGGAGCCTGGCCAGCCCTCTCATGCCTCTGCACTTCCTACCAGTCTCAATGTGGCTTCTTCTGTAAGTCCTTGATTATAAGGCTTCTGTCCAGCTAGGTTTCAGTTGGTTCTTCAGGATGAGATTTCTATAATTTAGTTGTAATTCCAGTTTGGTCCTGGGAGAAGGTTAGTGTAGCTTCTACCTAATCTGCCACCATCTTAGGCCTATTTCATTTTCTAATTATTTGTTTTTGGTTTATAGAAATATAATTGATTTGTTTTATATCAATCTTGTGTCCACCAACCTTCCTAAATTCACTTACTAATTTCAGTAATATATATGTAATTTATTTTGAATTCTTTATTAATTGTACACCACTTAGTCTTCTAAAAACATCATGCTTTTCATTTTTTCCTTTCCAATACTTAAAAGTTTTTCTTTTTTCTTGTTCTTTCTTTACTCCTTGGAAGGATCTCCAGGACAAAGCTGACTAGAAGTAATGACAGAAGGCACTCTCTTTTCTGTTGCTGATCTCAAATTTAAAAAGGCCAACATTTAACCAATAAGTATGATGCTTTCCAGAGGTTACTTGTAGAGCCCCTTAGCAGACTAAGGAAATCTCTTTTTATTCTTGGATTATGAATCAATGAGATTGTATGAGATGGTGAATTTTATTAAATGTTTTTCTTCATTCGCTACTGAGGTGAATTCTTTCCATTGCATAAATCAGCAAAGATATACAAAAGAAAAGACCATATAGTAAATATTTTATGTTTTTCAGGCCATCCAGGGTCTGTTCCAACTACAGTCAAACCTTGGTTTGCGAATGTCTCCTATCTTAAACAATTTGATTCTCAACCAAGTTGTTCACAGAAAAAATGTCTTAGTTGTCAAATAAAACTTTGGTTCTTGACCTAGCAGCCTTTTCATGGTAATAATGGTATGATCAATCACACATCTCTCAGGTAACAAACAATGAAGAGAATGCATGAGTATGAGTCAGTGTAGTAGTAAACCTCACATTATTAATATCTCAGGAAACTGTACTGTGAATATTTTTGTGTTTTTTTGCTTTGGGGATCTGGACCAAATTAATTCAGCAGGGATTATATAATGGGAAAAATGATTTGTTTTTTTTTTTTTAATTTATTTATTTATTTTATTTATTTATTTTTTTCATCCTCACCCGAGGACATTTTTCCATTTTTTACTCAGATAGAGCGGGAAGGAGAGAGAGGAAGAGAGAGAAACATTGATGCGAAAGGGACACATCGAGTGGCCGCCACCCACACGACCCAACCAGGGCCGGGGACAAACTGCAGCCAAGGTACATGCCCTTAGCGGGAACCAAACCCAGGTCTCTGTGGACCGCAGGCTGACTCTCTAACCACTGAGCCAAACCGGCCAGGGCTGATTTGGTTTTTGAACAGCCTTCCAGAACAAATTAAGTTGGAGAAATGAGGTTCCACTGTATGCTGCTTTATCATTTCTTTAGGAAAGCATTGATAGACTATAGAACAATATAGAAATGAATGGACATAGCTATGTGCCTATTAAACTTTATTTACAAAAACAGGATTAGCAATGGGCCAGATTCAGTTACAGGGAAGCAGTTTGACAATTCCTGCTTTATTCTATTAATGTGGTAAATGACACTAATTGCTTCCTAGAATAAAGTTAACTTGGTGTGATGTACATGTGACGTGTATATTTTCATTTAGGATTTTGCTTAGGATTTTTGTATACCTGTTCATGGTTGAAAATGGCTTGCAAATTACCTTTCTTAGAGTATCTTCAGATTTTGTCATTAAGGTTATGCTGCTTCATAAAACAAGTATGGAAGTAGTCTTTCTATTTGTGTGATGACTTTATGCAAGATTGATTTTTTTTGTAAGATTGGTATTATTTCTTTCCTAGAATTTACAAGTGATGATACTCCTGGGTCAAGTGTTTTTGCTTTTGGTGTGAAGATTATATATACACATAGTGTGTATATATAAATTTTAAAAACTATATTCTAGTTCCCACTTCTCTTTTCAACTAGGTCTAATCTGATAATAATGGATTTAGAGTGGCTGGTTAGCTCATTTGGTTAGAGTGTGGTTCTGATGATAATGGATTAATCCATTTATTGAGCTCTCAATTTCAATTAATGTGGTTTTTACTTCTACAGTTTCCAATAGGTGCTTCATTGATATTTCTAGCCCCTGCTGAAAAACTTGATCTTGTCTTTAATCCCTTGAATATAATTATCTGCTTTGAAAATCTACATCTGATAACTCTATTATCTGGATTTTATATTAGATTGTTTCTAATGCCTGTTGTTTCGCTTGTTCTTTGGTCACAGCATTTCTTTTGTGTGAATAGTTACTTTTGATTAAACACAAGATATTACAAACAAAAACTGCAACAATTATTTAAGGTTATGTATGATAGTATCTTCCTCTACACAGGATTTGCTTTTGCTGCTAGCAGGCAGCTAATCAACGAGGGGCACTAATAATTTTATCTGACTATTTTCCAACTTTTTGGCCTTAGAAACACTTTACCGTCTTAAAAATTATTGAACAGCTCAAAAAGATTTTGTTTATGTGGTTTATATCTATCAATATTTACCATATTAGAAATTAAAAATAATATGTTTTACTAATGAACACATTTTAAAAATATTAAATTCATTACATATTGACACATTTTATACATTTCTATTACAAAATCTATGCTTTCCAAATTTTAAAATAATTATTGAGAAGAATGAGATTGTAAATCTAATATTTGGTTTAACAGATAATATAGCTGGATTCTCATATCTTCTTCAAATTGTTGCAACATGTTATTTTGGTTGAAGTGTAGGCAAAAAAAAAAAAAAACTCACAAAGATATATATCAGAATACAGAAGAGCATTTTTATAGCCTTTTTAGATCACTTCAGCCAATCAGTAAGTATTTCAATAATTAGATCTTTGATACTAGACCAATACTCAAAAGGTGCTAGTTTATTTAAAGTTAGTTAAAAGTTATAACCTAAAATCATATCAGTAAACTTTTAGTGCTCTCTTACATTAAAAGCAATTTGAATGTCTCTTTTATATTATTATTATTAATACTATTATTATTATTATTATTTATTCTCACCCAAGGACATTTTTGCATTTATCATCAGATAGAGCGGGAGGGAGAGATGGAGGAAGAGAGAGAGAGAAACATTGATGTGAGAGAGACACATCAAGTGGCTGCCACTCACACGACCCCAGCCAGAGGCAGGGGCAAACTGCAACTGAGGTACATGCCCTTAGCGGGCACTGTACCCAGGACTCTCTGGTCCGAGGGCCGATGCTCTAACCACTGAGAAAAACCAGCCAGGGCTGAATGTCTCTTTTATTTATGCATTACTGCATAGCATACTTTAGTCATTGGAATATACTGGTTTACTGAGTTAAACATATCTTCCAAATGCAACACTATATTTTAAAAAATCACACTTTAATATCAAAACCAATCTTATCAGTAAACTCTTTTATTAAGGAGAATTGTCAAGTTCATGGTGATGAATACAAGTCTTCCAAAATTCTAATTTTTGCTTAAAAGCTTTAATTTTATCTTTGGATACACATAACTCCTGTTGCTTTTCTTGAATCAACAAGCAAATTTTGTTCATTTTCAAGAACTGTCTGCCCAAATATCTAACTCTGAATAACCACTGTGTTGGTGCTTATTCAATGACATTCTAAAATGAAATTGGCATTTTTTTTTTCACCAGTTCTCAGAGTGGTAAAGAATACAATGTATGGCCCAGCTGGTGTGGCTCAGTGGTTGAGCATCAACCCATGCACCAAGAGGCTGCCGGTTCGATTCCCGGTCAGGGCACATGCCCAGATTGTGGACCAAATCCCCATTGCAGGGCATGCAGGAGGTGGCTAATCCATGTTCTCTCTCATTGATGTTTCTATCTCTTTCTTCCTCTCCCTTCCCCTCCCTCTAAAATTAATAAAGGAAAAAAAATTAACTGAAGAAGTAAAAGAATAAAATGTATAGCAGTACAGTTTGGTACTACTGCCTTGATTCATGCTAAGGCTTCAGCAATTTTACCTATTTCTTGTGCACTGTCAGTATAAATATCCACACAGTGAAAGGGAAGATACTGTTTAAGTAGTATCACTATAGTTTTGACATTGTGAATCCTTTGAAAGGTTTTTTGGATACCTCCAAAGATCTGTGGACCACAATTTGAGAAACACTGCTTTTTCCCAATCATGGATTGAGACGATTCAAAACTTGGCATTAACTCCTGTGAGAAATGACTTATTTCTGGTTCACTTTGACTTCTGTGTTGTGGCCTTGTGTGTCCCAAACAAAAGCCTAGGTGTTTCCCATGACCTCCATATCTTGACATGCTTTGAGCTCCAATCTTTGTCTATCAAAGATCTGCTTCATCCAGGCATTGAAAACAGGCACTAAATACCTCAAGGGGAAAATACTTGGTTTATCCTTATGGGTTTTTCCTTCTCTTCTGAATCTTGATACTACAAACACTCTTTCCTTGTTAGATATTTGGACTCAGCATATATATATTTAAAATATATTTTATCCAGTTTTTCTCAATAGGTGATTTGGCTCAAATCACAATACTGCTATTTCTGGAAACCTCTAGACGTTAAACTGTTTCTTAATTTTGTTTTTATTGTTTAAGTATACAAACTATTCTTGCTGTAAAAATTTTAAAATAATACAGATATACATATAAAACTTAAAAATGTAACTTCTCTCTGCTTACCATGTCTCATCATTCACTTTCCAATTCCTAGCCTCCTACAAAGAAAGCCACTTTTGGCAAACTGGTGTTATGTCCTTTTACTCTTTTCTTTATAGATTTAGAAATATATATTTGTGCACATATAAATTTTGCAAATACTATATAAATGAGTTCATACTATTTTCGCTTTTTCTAATTTCTTACAGAATCATCTTAACTTTTTAGTTAACTAAATGATTAATAATAACAGTTCATAATTTCTCAAGGGCTTCTTTTGCAAGTGCCAGGCACTGCCCTAGATGCACTAATACATTATTTCATTTGTTCT